CGGAGTTTCTATGTTAATCACAGCGTCCGGAGGTCGTTAAATTAACAGGTTAAAGCAGGATAGGGTGCTATGATTAATGCAAATAGTGTCGAATACAAGAGAATCTCAGAACGTGGACACGGCAAACATGTTTGATGCATTGTTTTCAATATTGGAAAAGGTTGTCAGCATTCATCCGTTGTTTTGTCGAGGCATGACATGTAAGTCACGGGCCTTCATTCATTGGCCACCACGTGTCATCAAGCTATATGACCGCGCGGTCGAAGCACCCAAAAGCCCCCCCCCCCCCCCCCCGAGGTGGGTATAAGCGGCCGCCACAGGCGGCTGGCCGCTGCTGCCTCTCGGCCGCTCACCGCCGCACTGTATTGTCCTCCATGCGTCTCCCATGACCTTGTCTGGCATTCGAAGTTGTGTTCCCGTGCGAACTGATATGCGAAAGTTGCCACGAGTCTGCTCCGTCAGCGTTAAAGACGCGGAGCGATCGTTTGTTAGAGATGATGCACTCACCGGTGGCGCTGAACGCATGGCCAAACTTGGGATTTATGGGCGGAAGACGGCGAAGTTTTGGGTAATATCGGAGAGGTGTTTGAGAGCTTTTGGCGATGAGACAATGTTCGATGACCGCTCCACGAAAATAGGTCGTCGCCGACTTTTCTTGTGCGGAGGCGGTCAGGCTTCATCGCAGAGCATGTAATCCGTCAACACAAGCGGGCCCCGCCTCCACTCCCGCTGCATTCCTACCGCCTCCTTCGCCCACGGGACTTTGGCCTGTCGGTGAGCAGGGTCAGCGTCACCTGCCAGGGTCGCCGACGCCGTCGATGTCGGGCAGAGTTCGGCAGGCGGCGGCGGTCGCTGCTTTTGGACGCGCTTCGCGCGGGTCCGTGCCGCTCCAGCCCGCCCTGACCCGCCCAGGCCTGTCAGCGTGCCCATCCCGTGACCTGCCTCCTCCGAGGACAAAAACGGCGACACGTCATGCAGAAATTAGCCTTCTGCCCACGTTGGGGCTCTTGGGAAAATCACGTGCGGTGGTCAATCCGTTTTCCAGCACACTGTGCTGTTCTGTGAGTTGATATCCTTGAATTTGGAAGTCACGACCATCACAAGTTCTGGCTGTGCGTAGCATCACAGCCGGCTCAGAAAATGTCGTTTCTGTATATCATTTATGCATCTAGTGACGATATTGTATCTGGTGAGAACAACACTGGATGATCGAAGGCAGTCGTATCCCTTATCGGTATCACACAACACACATAAGGCGGTCCCAGCGTGGCATCGTAACCGTTGTGACGAATGGACTGCACTGAATGCAATCACCAACTTCGACCTTGCCTTGCCACCTAATTCATAGTCTTGATGCTCCCTGTCCCACGCTATCTGCCAGCTGGATGCGAAGCCAGGAAGACGAACTGCCTGCGTGATATGTGTGACCTACACTAACACTCTGCCGGCTGGTGCGATGAGCTTCCTACGGCGGCCTCTCGCCTGGCGCGGCTCTGTTTTTCGGACGCTGTCGAGCCCGGGCTGCCGCCGCAGCCGCCTGTTTTTGGTCGAACCGCCGTGAAAAGGCCGGCGATCGTTGCAGAGAAAAAGCCAAGCGGTGGTGGCCGGCGCTGAGATCGGCCCCAGATAGGACAGGCGTGCAATTAAAACGGATGGCGTGGCGCGGCGCGGCGTGCCGGCCCGCCCCGCGGCACGCACGCACGCGCGCTCACGGAGCATGCGGCGATGGTGCACGGCGGCTCGCACGCAGGTAAACAAACAATATCCCCCGGCGACATGCGAGAGCATTTTGACAATTATGCCCGAACACGTGGAGCAGAGCGTCGCGTTGGCCACGCAATGTCCCCGACCTGCCTGCCGTCACCGCCGCCTGCCGCCTCCGCCGACCGGGTCCGCTCCGACGTCGGTGCGTGGGCTTTGTCCGCGCGGCCCGCGCGGCTTATCCCGCCCAATTATACGCCGGGTGGCACCTCCGGCGCAGGAGTGCGTATAACGAGCTCTGCACCTGGAGCCAGAGCGGACCAATTAGTGAGCCGGCGGCCCGGCGGCCGATGCCGCGTGGAGACCAACCCTTTGTTGCGCGTGGGCTGCCGACCGCCGGCCGCTGACGCGGTGGTGAGACGCAGGCTCCTGCGATGTGATGCGAAACAGTCCGGGGCGCTTGCAACTGCTGGGAGTTTAGTGTATGTTGTGGAATGGACAGTAGTGAATGGGGCGTATTCAAGTGCAGTTGTATTGGCGTTAAGGCGCTTCCCAGCTTTGAACATCTTTCCTGATAGCGAGTCAGGGCGGCGGCGCCCTCACTCGCTACACTGAACCCCGCTACAAGCCAATTTCACACTGATTCACCGTTGCGCGCCATGCGTGGCGTGGCAGCCCGCGCGGATGTGGCTGATGTTCGTCGGGGACGAAATCTGAAGCGGCTCCCGCGCCGCGACGGCCGCAATGAAAGGACATCGCCCGCCGGCGAGCGAGCTAAAACCGTCGCGTAAAAAGCGATAACGAAGTCCGGCATTGACGGGGCGGCGCGATGAAATCGCGCGAACGCCAGCGCCGGCGTTAAATGCCCGACGTAAAACTGTCGCCGGCTCCCTGACATAGACATAAGCTGCAGCCAGACGTCAGCGGCACACACTAACTCATTTGCCGGGCCGGCGGCGGGCGACAGCCGCTCGCAGATAGCCATCGCAGGAAGTTGCTTCACCCGGCCGCGCTGCGGAAGCGGGAGCCGTCTCAGGACCCGACGCACCGCGCGGGGCGCTGCGCTGCGGGGCCGCGCGGGACCGTGCGTCTGCGCCGGCCTGCGGCGACTCCTCGCCGCTGGGGCGGTGGCGCGGCTGAACGGGACCGGCGTGGCGGAAGCGGTCTCCCCCACAATGATGGGGCGTGCACCTCCAAAGCACACGTGCTTTGTGCCAGTTCTTGATTTGACGAGGACCCACAAGTGCCCCGCCGCCGGTCTCGGCTTGATGGCGACTGTCGTAATCAGGTTAAGGGCAGTTATAAGTTTTCTGTTTACGCCCGCTCGAGCCGTGTATGCATATGAGCCGGATTGGAAACGCGTCTTGATTGGCTCCTGGGGCGGCCGAGTTAATCCGGGAAGGCCAATCCGTTCTGCTTCCGCCCCCCCGCCCCGGCCCCGGCCATGAATCACGAGGTTTTTGTGTCATTCCCCCCACTCCCGACTCTTCCTCATTTATACGTAGCGTCGTGCGCGCGCGCTGGCTTTGATTGGCACGCGACGCTCATTACCCTGTCATATATTAGCGTCGTTTTGTTGACGGCGTCGCACCGGTAATACGGCACGTGCGCCGACAATGCGGCCGTGATCATTGTGATGACCGCCCGCCGGGACCCGGCCCAGCCGAAGGTAAGCCGATTTGCCGTCCCCTCGTCCGCAGTGTTCCTGTTTTCGCGGTATCCATTACGCTGTGATGGATACACCCATTTACGGCCGCCCCGAGCCTCTGCGGGGTGCAGCCTGGCCCCCGCTATGAGAGGGGACCGTGACTGACGCACGTGCCCCGTTGGGTCCATGCGGCACACATTGTCAGCCACGGCAAGGTCTCTCCTTCCCTTCCTCGTAGAGTTGGCACCGTGGCGATCATAGCAGGCGGGCACCGGAACATGTAACCGCGACGACACGCTGTGAGGACTCGGGGCCGTTTTCACGCGCCTGCGGTGCGGTTTGGGTGTGAGTTGGTGCGTGTGGCCGGCCGGTCAGGCCTGCGGGCCGCCGCTGACCATGCTGGGCGTTGACAGACCATTGGGGCGGGAATTCGCCCAGTCTAGCCGTCGTTGTCGGCGCGGTCGTGACCGTGTTGCGACTCGGGCAGGGTCGCGTGCTCACGGTTGCAGGTGGTTTGCCGTGCGCGTGTCCGTGCGTGTTCTGCGTGTACAGGCGAGCTGCTTGGTGGCGAGCGTTCTCGCACGCCGCCGACGCAAGCTCGCGGACAAGAGTTACACACCGTCATCGTGGGACCCCGCTCGCCGACCTCGTTCCGACACGACGGGCACGACCCCGTTCGCCATGAGAAGCCTGCGTTGAAGTATTACGTACGTTGTCGATACTGTTCCCGCATTCATGGCGTCGCCGCCTCGGTCCGTAGCACGTGCGGCGTCTGCTATGATCAGCGCCGACGGGCGCCGTTTCCACGCCGCGGCCGTTTCCCCCCGCGCCGTTTCGTTGACGCATCCGCCGCCTCCGCGCTGCGATCGTCACCCAGCCGGCCGCCTGCGGCGCGTCCGCCGCCTGGCGAGGGCGCCGCCCGCGGGCCGGCCGGCGTGGCGTGGCGTGGCGCGGCGCGGCGCGGCGCGTGACGCGATCGGCGCGGGCAGGACAGCTCGCATCAGCGCCCAGCGGGGGTGAGCAGATGTCACGCCTGAGCTTGCCGCCGCCGGAGACGGCCGCGGAGAGGGCAGTCTCGTGCTGCTAGAGCTCGCCGACAGCAGGGCCGCGGGACCCTCCCCCTTCCGCGGGGCGTGGGCAGAACGCCGGCGACGGCGGGGGACGTGACCCGCGTCGGTCGCCGGAACCGGACTGCGACGAGAGCGGTCGCCTGGCCCTGGGAGGCCATGAAATTTGCGAAATTCGTCCAGAAGCTCACGAACGGGGATCGTCGACCGGCCTGGTGAGGCGACAGGAGACTGATGGGACTGCGCTGAGCCCGAGCTCAGCTCCGCTCGGGGGCGTCAGCTGGGCGGCGCGAGGGCATCTCGCTCGTTATCGGTCGGGCCGGCCGTGGGAGGCTCCGCCACTCTCGATCCGACCTGCCGACCGGCGTCAGCGGAACCTGCGGCCGAAAAACGCCCCGAGGCTTTGGTGTGGCGTTTTTTGGGGCGGTGGCGAGCGCCCAATCTGGGGCGGCGGCCGACCTTCGAAGCCGCACAAGCGCCCGAGGCGACGGCCGGGGTCGGCGACGGCGGCCGCAGACCCAGCCGCGGCGTACCGGCGGTGACTGGAGGCGCGCGGCGGCCCAGGTCATGGACGCCGCGGGTGGTGACTGGTGGTGCGAGCGGTCTGAGGAGGCGGGCCTTCACCAGCGGTGCTGATGAATCCGCTCATCAGCCTCGCCTTCCAGCTGGGTAAGAGCTTGCTGGGGCCGGCGGCGGCGGGCTGACGCGCCGCCCCGGGCGAGCCGGTGGTCCGTCTCGGGGAACCGACCGGTTTTGGTTCTTGCTTCTGTGAAGTCGCAGCGGGCAGGTGCCGACCATGGTTTTAATGGCTCGTGCCAGGTGTGTAGTGCAGAAGTGGCTGTTCGATGTCCGGCTACCGGCGGTCATTTGCAGCTAGGTGTGAAAGGATTGGGCGTGTCAAAATGACGCTTCCATTGGGGCGTCTCGCCGAAAAGAGAGGGAGCAAAAGTCATTTCTCCCTGCCCTATGCAAGATGAAATGAAGCTTATTTGTTAGATTCAGTCCTTTCTATCATGACAAACGTGTCTTGGTGCTTCCCACACTTGGAAAGTGTCCGGTATCCCGTGTCCTTTTGGGCGGTTGGGATGTTTGGTGACATTGTGCGAGTTAGCCGGCCCACTGCCGGTGTTATTACCAGCGGGAGAGTGGCTGCGATGGTCCCGCTACACCATTTGAGACGAGTGTCTTGGAAATGACCTTGTTTTCACAGAAAACAAAATTGAAAGCCTTTTTGCTGCCGGAGAGAAGTCACGCGATTCCACTATTTCTCGTGGCAGACGGCTGGCGCACACGAATTGTTTTTTTGTGGATTGATTAACGCAAGCACGAGAAAGTCAAGGCCGAGGTGACCATGCGGTGCTGCACCTGGACATCGAGGAGTTACTGCGTCACGCTGCATCGATTCGCATGTGTTGTTAGTTATGCGGTGCGTTGGTCCAAGAATATTGTGGGAAAAGAACTCGGGTGAGAGGATGCATGAATCGCCGTTCAACGAGCCACAGGAAAGTGTGTTCGAATGGAATGTGCGGAAGCAGAAAATTATAGTTGCAGTAAAAATTTTGATTACAATTAAACAATTGTATATAATAATATATTGATTATTAATTATATATATGTATATACATATATGTATATATATGTATATACATATATATATATATATATATATATATATATATATGTAAACTATATGTATAATTAATAACAATTAAAATTACAGCCCGAGTTTTAGAACCGTGCCAGGTCGCTCCCGAATCTTCGCCTGCTTAGGAGACACGGATGCCCCTGACCGGCGCAGTCTCCGGATTTGTTCGCTCTCCGTGAACCCGACCTCCGTGCCGGTGTTCGTGACTCGCCGTGACGCCTCATTTCAGATAGAATCTGAAATGTTAAAAGCGTCGTAAAGTAGCCCTACAGCCCTCGCGCTGTGTTCACGTTACCGCTGGAAGGATTTGTGGGCCCATAGATGGGATCTTGCCCCTAAATCCGGGGAGTTTTGTGGAGTGGACCTGCCGTCTGATCAGGCGGGAGTTATCTGGAGCTCTATCTGATCCTTCGTTAGGTATTGCGAGAAGACCGTTGATGCGTTCGAGCCGCTCACACTTCATTCCAGCTGACGCTATGACCCCATGCGCATATGGTAGACACTTCGGTGGGGCAGTTCGCCTGACCTCCTCTGGCTCCGTTGTGCCGGCCACGCGTCCGTCTCGTGTGCCTCGCGCGCCACTGCCAGCTGACCTCTCGCCCCCTCCGGCAGTGTCGCTGGCCCAGGAGGCGCCGCACCTCACCGTCCTGCCGACGGGGAGCGTGATCCGCCGCGACCTCGGCACCACCGGCTTCTTCACCTGCCGCGTCAGCCAGCAGCACGAGCAGCTGGTCGACGACGTGGTCTGGCTGGACCCGCGCGGCCAGGAGGTGCCTGACGAGCGGCAGAATCGGTGAGGCGGTCGACCACTGCCGGGGCGGCGCTCGGCGGGGCGGGGCGGGTGTCTCCGTCCGCTGTCCGGCGGGGAGGGGGAGGGAAGGCGTCCGTGTACATACCTGCCGCGTCAAGTGCTCTTCTTGCGCTGTCTGACGACTCTGCTTCTTCTGGACGACCCCTGTTGGAATGACTGTGCCTGCGGGCGGTTGAGCTTGAACGGCGGAGGCGTTTTCGAGCGGGGCTTCGGGATCTTTGCCGCGCGCCGCTGCGCGCTCGGTTTTGGAGCGTGCGTCTGGTCCCACGCGTCTCTAACGCCACGTTTCCTGTTCCAAGCCCTGGAGCCCAGCCTCCCAGGTATGCCACACGACCGCCGGGTTCTCCTGCGCTGTCGTACCTGCTGTAGTGTACCGCGCGGCGGGCCCGGCACGTGCCCGGACCGTGTCGTGCCGCGACCTGCCCCCCCCCCCCCTCGCTCGCCGACCCGGTGCGCCACTTTCGTCTGATCGACGAGCGGCCATTGTGACGCTTCATGAAGGCGCCGCGAACGGTTATTAAATGGAACTGCCAGGGTCTAATTGACCGTCAGAGTGTGAGTCGGCGTGTTCGGAGCACCGCAAAACATCGGTCGGCGACTGTCCTTCCGTCGATTTCGGCCCACAAAGCCCACCGCCGGTCACTGGCTGTTGACACACGTGCGTGGTGCAAGACGCAGCGACGTCTGTTCGCGCTGCGCGGAGGATGTGGCCGGTTTTTGCGCCGGCTAATCAGGGACTGCCAAGGTCAAGGTCACAACTGGGAGGGGAGGGGGATAAACAGACCGGTTATCTGACACGTCTGAGCCGCGTCCGCTGCCGCGTTGTGTAATAGTAAACAGTTGTAAAGCGAATTTCGCTGGGTCGCGCCGGTGTTGGCGGCGTGCCAGTTCGATGGTCGTCGCGAGGGACGCGCAGCCTACCGGACACTCAGAGGCCGTCCAATCCGTGACCGGCTCCGTGCCGTCGCCCGACTCTGTCTCGTCGGGATCCTTCCCCTGCATTCCGGTGCATGGCGTGCGGCGGCTGTCTGTTGTGCATGGCATGCTCGTGGCCGGCGGACACCAATGAGGGGGGGGGGGGGGCGTGACGTCAGCGTTCGCCGGCGTCACGCCCGAGACATCGCTTTGGCGCATTGCCAATTCTCTTCTCGGCTTATGTCTGGCTTGTGCATTTCTTGGCTTCTTTCTTGACTTCTGTCGATGGCTGGTGCCAATCAGTCGCTTTTCACCACGCACTCAGGCTACACGGATGCATTGTGCTGCTGTTTTTGATAGATCGTTCTCTCGATCACACCTTTGCGTCTCCCCTTTAGGTGTGGTGGATCGTGTAGATAAATATAAATAAGTCGTTGCTATGCGTGGTAGATTTATGTCTAGATTTCCCGTCCGTTTGTTAAGCGTTTATGTCGTTTCGTGTTCGCGGTTCAACTGCATCCGTGTATGGCTCATTTGTATTGATGTGTGCTACGCCGTTCATGCCGGTCGTAGAGGCGTATTGCATATGAGTGACGTGCGGTGAAGTGGAACTGTTCGACGTGTTGCCCTCCTTTCGCGTTATGTACCAAACCCCAGCCGGTATACCTCTGGGCTTGCAAACAAGTCGTGTTACTGCACAAATAAGTCAAAGAAGCCCATGAAACACCTACCTGACTTTGACTATGTGAGTCCTTCGCGTTATCAATCCACCAAAAATCCGGCTTCCCTGTTAGTATTGGTTTTCTTCATGAATCTAACCAAGTTCAAGGGAATGTTTCCACGACCGGATTTATGTAATCTGAGCCGAAAGGAGGTCCGTAAAATTGATATAAGCTTGCATATGCGCCCAACAACGTGAACGCGATCGGAGTGACGAACATGACGCCGAAGTGACAGTCACTGCGCCAGAAGCCCGCCGTCCTGACGTTTATGACGCTGGCTCGGGCCCTGACCGTGAGAGATGCGGACTGGTGGCGGCTGACAGGTATTGCCCTCCGTCAGCCGGCTCTAATTCGGGCTTGATTTAGGGCCTCGGTGCCCTGGGGCGATGGGCGGGCTGGGACGTGGGCGCTGGCGGCTTGTAGGCACTCCCGGCCAGCGGGCCGTCCTGGTGTCCTGCTGTGAGGTCGGCCTCGTGGCATCTTCGGCCCGGGTCCCGGACCGGTCCCGCGGCGCCCCCGGTCTGGACCCTCGGTCCGGGGGCGCCCCCGTAGCCCGCACCGTGAACGCGAAGCCAGCCTCGGACGACCCCGCAGCTCCGCGGGGCTTGACCTCAGACGGCGTTTCATTGCCAGGCGCTTGGGCGATCAATGTAATGCTCGTGCGTTCACGGTGCTCAAAATTCAGCCGGTCCTTACGTAGCCGTGTGTTTGTCGCCACACGCGGCATTGTGTCCGGCGTGCCGATCCGGCATCCCGTATGCCATGCATGGATGGCCGCGGTCATTTCACTTCACCGCACGCCGAAATCAAACCGTGTGATCCGTCACCGCCGCGCCGTGGGGGGCACGTGCCCACTGTCTCGTGCCCACTGAGCACGTGTCTCTCTAAGCGCGCGCCCACTGAGCACGTGTCACTGTCGGTGAAGTCGAACCGGGAGGTGGTGTGCGACGAATTGCTCGCGCGTTATTCTTAGACCGGCACAGTTTTGGTCGTAACCTTTCACGAAACGGCGCCGAGAAACATTTGTAATTGCTCTCAGCACTGGCGCCTTGTGCATGCTGGATCGATTTGCCAAAGTTTGCGCTTCTGGGCAACTTTGATCATTGCAAGCACGCGGGGGGTCCAAGCCACGTGTCACTATGTGGACCATGGAACCGACCGTGGATCAGGCGCAGTTTCAAACATGCCAAACTGCTTACTTGATGTTGACGATGGGTTGTTGACATGCTACCTCGTAGCATTCTTTTGGCAAACGTAGCTTATTATTTATATGGCATACGATGATTATGGCACGGCATGAGATAATGCACGATGATGCAAAATAGCTATTGAGCTAATTAAGTGGTTGACTTCTTTACGCCGGCTCAAGGTGCTGACGTTTTTGCTCTTTTATGTATAAGATGGCGGCAGATATAAATGTCACAATCGTCAAAATTGTCGGCAAAGCGCAGCCCCCCCCCCCCCCCCCGATCATGCGCATGCGAGTCTCTGTGGGATGTATAGTTACATAACCATTGTCAGCCCAGTTGCGTTTTCTGCGTTGGACATGGGGTGTGACCTTGACCCGTACTGACCCCTGCATGGCTTGGTCGTTTGTTGTAGCGTAGCCGGAACACGACTGTTCAACTGTGGGCTCCCGCAGCTGCGACCCGACCTGACTCGACCTAACCTGACCTGACCTGACCCGACCCGCACCCTTAGGCTGTACTCGAGCGACGCATCGTCTGGAAAGGGCAGGGAGCTGTTCGTCTCTAACATCACGGAGAATGACTCCGGGAACTACACCTGCAAGGCTCGCTACGGCACCAACCAGGAGATTACCAAGACCTTCGCCCTCCTCGTCTACAGTAAGTCCCGCTGCGTCATTGGACGGAAGGTGGCCAGCTGCTGGACACGGATGCTTGTAAGGAATGAGTGCCTGGGGGGGGGGGGGGGTCCCCCCTCTGAGTTAGTTGTGGATGGATGTTAGGCCATGATACCAGTGATTGTTTGTTTTTTCAACATGGCTTTGGCTTTTCCATTGTTTAGACCCACAGGTGGGACAAAGACGGGAGAGGGAGTTGTTGATATGTCAGCTGCTTTGTGGCCTGAAACGCGACCGGCCCGGGTGCAGGTGGCCGTAACGTTTCCATGGCCTTCGGGGACTGAAGGTCAAATGGCGACCCCTTGCAACTGGTTGCGCCCAGCGATACGTCTCTTACGAGCGCAAATTATCTGGACAATTTGCTTCATCGATCAGTTCAAAGACCTTCACCGGTCGTTCGTGACGCGGCTTATATTTACACACCATGCAAAATCTATCGAGTGCGTCTTTGTGCCCGTGAGTACCAGAAAAAGGGCGCGTGTCTCGTGCCACGAGGCGTCTCGTGGGGCGCTCGGGTGTCCGAGCCCGTCGCTGGCCGAGGCTGCGCCGCTGCTCCGCGTGCCTTGTGCCAGAGCGTGCCACGAGGGGTCTGATGGAGCGCCTAGTGCCCGGGCCCGGCGCTGCCCGGCGCTCTTGGAGGCCGCGCCGCTGCACCGTGTGCTCGTCTGCCAGTTCAGGCCGAGCCCAGCGCTCAGTTATTGAGCTTGATTACAACGTGTGCCGTCATCGGGCCGGCTATCGGCCAGTGATAAAACGTCAAGGCCGACCGCCTGCGGGCGGGGGGGGATCACGTCCGGCCGGCCGGCTGGAGGTGCGGCGAGGGCTGCAGCGCGTGGGGCGGGGCGGGGAGCGTCACCACCCGGCGGCCGGCACCTCCGGCCGCCGTCTCCGGCCGCCTCTGTCCGCCGAGGCGCTGAAGGATAGACGGGTCTCGCGCGAGCGTGCCGACGGCGGAGAGTGCGATTGCTGACTCGTGGAACAACTGGGCCCGATTCATTTGAGCTCGCTTCCGAATCCTGGTGGTCTTTGTAGCTGATTTCGGTTTGGTTCACGCCGGCGAATATCATTTGCGGTTAATTCAGTTTGCTTCACTGGAAGTTAAGCTCGGCCGGGTTCGGGTTGGTTGGCCTCGGCTTAGGTCGGCCCTGGGAACCCCGGGACGTGCTGGTCCGGTGCTGCTGGCTGCAGGTTTCCCATCGGTTCCCACAGTTGGCCGGGGCGATAGCCGGGCCGGGCCGGGGCGATAGGCGAATTTCGACGCGGGCGAGGTGTGCGCTGCCGCCGAGTCGGGAGTCCTAACTCAGCAGCCGTTCAACAAGAACCCAGCGGGGTGGCGTGCATTATCTTGTGACGTCACGCGTGGGGGGCGAGCACGGATTGAGATTGTGGAACGGACCCGGCCGTAGGATTTAGCTAGACGGCGACGGAGGAAAGAACAAGTACGACCGGTGCCGATTTCCGAATAGAAAACCAGGGATGGGAAACCAGCATCGTATCCATTCTGAATGCTGCCAGGTCCTGTTATCGCGGCGTATAAGGGCGTGGTGATTATGTGAAGCCGTCACTCAGGCGAACTACACGCTTGTGATTAGGTGAGCTACGCGCATGTAATCCACAACGAGTGATGTCTCGTCACGAATCGAGGCCTGGCTATGATGAGCGGGACAGATGGAGGGGCGCTGGAGCATTCCGTGGCGAGGAAGTCCCAGAATGCCGGGATCTTGAGCAGGCGGCGAGCTGATCGCGTTCTGCTCTGTCCGCCCGCCACCGTCGACGACGTCAGAACGCGGCCGAAGACAGCCTTCCACGGCCGTCGGCGGCCGTCCGGTCCGAGCGCGACTCCGCTCACAGCGAGCGCTGGCGGCAGGGGAGTGGGGGACCGGACCGGTCGGCGCCGGAGCGGGGGACAGACGCGACCCCGAGAGCAGCGGGAGCAGGGAGCGGCAGGCGACCCCGCCCCGGAGTGAGCAGTTGGCTGACGTTTCATTGTGCTCCGCTGATGGATGGGGTGGGGTATTCGCGTGCGGGACTCGAGAGGGGTGGGGGCAGGTCGGCCGGTCTGATTAATTCCAGCCGGTTCCGCTTATTAGCCGCTGCTCTGCCGGCCGAATCAGAGCCGCGCGCCGAGCGGAGGATCCCTCGCCAATCCATCACGGGCCCGGGTGGTGCCCCGGGCCTGTCGGCCGCGCCGACCGCCGCCGGAACCAGCCCGCTGATCATCGTCGAGCGGGACGGCGCGGCCACCGGGAGCGGGCTTCGGCGGCCGCTTCCCGCCGCGTGAGCGGTGCGTCCCGGCGGTGGGGGATCGACTGAGGGTCGTCGAATGCCACGCGCTGAATGGGGGCGTGACTGTGAGAAGCCGCGCGACTGTTGACCGGAGATGACCCGGTGTAGTCGGTGTAGGTGAAGAGTGTGTGTGTGTTGTGTGTTCTGTGTCTGTGTTCAGTAGGTCGTGAAGTGGAGGCGCGCTTGCGACGTGACGCTGCGTCCGTTGGCTATCCGGTACCCGTTCCTGCCGTAACAAGGCTGCTAGGTACGGCGCCTATTGAGCTGGTGAGGTAGTTAGTTATTGAGTTTAAAAGGCGCGTCAAATGGCTTGGATATTAACTGGCATGTCGAATGTGCTACACTTCAAACCTGATCAATCTTTCCTCCGATGTGAAAGCTGAAAGAATAATTCATTTGCTGCTGTACTCATTCGTCACATTTTACTGCAATTTAATTGACATTTATTCACTACTTGATTCACTACATCTCTCAGCCATCGACAAGTTGATGGCTTAACAACTCGCCGAGCCACCGCGGTGCAATGACAAACAATGAAATGATCAACCCACAGACTTGCAAAGGATTATCCGACGGGAACTCTAAGTGCGGCGAGCGGCGCGCGGATTCGTTTGTTTTTGCGACCAAGCTTGTTATTGGTAGAGTGTTCGATGGATTTACAGCAGCGCCGCCGTTATCCGCCACCTGGCGATGGCGGCGGATGAAAACAAAGCTCTCCCCGGCATGGGCAGATGCCGCGCTAATAAGGACGGCGAGCTGCTGCGGCGTGTTTGCTCGTGTCTGCGGTCACAGATCGCACTGGACCCTCCGATCGATGCGGAGGCGCTGGGACCGTCCCGAACCGCTCGGCTTCGGCTCAGGCCGCGCCGTGACGGACACCCGGGGAAGCTGCTGTAGCTGACCGCTGCCGCAGTGCGGCTGGACCCCGGGTCAGCCGGGCGGTTCCCACGCTGGCGGCGTGCTCAGAGCAGCGCTCTGGCCGGTAACTTTGCGCGGATCTCGCCGGCCCTCACCGCTCCGCGCGGTACCTCCTCTCGCCGGGCTTCACTGGGGCGGTGGTGGTGGATGTCCGCCGTGTTTGACCATGGTGACGCCACGGTACTCGCGCTGTCTCCATGACGTGTCTGTTACGGCTGTGCTGGACGGGCGCACGCCCAAGACCGCTTCCGCATCGGTCAAGAATGCGGGAGCACGCTGATTGGGCGCTGCATGGCTAGGGTAGTCGGCGCGCACTTAAGCTCAAATCATCAATATCATCGGGAGCACATCGTCTGACTGTGCCGCCACTCTCCGTGTCTACTCCTGCTCGAGCCGGGTGGTCCCAGCCGGGTCGGCGGTCCTGACGCCCCCTGACCGGACCTCGCTGACGCCTGCGGCACCCGTCCTGCGCCGGCGAGCTGCAGCCCTCCGCCGCTCCTGCGACCCCCGCAGCCCGGCCGTGTTGTGTCGGCGCCGCGCCGGCCGCCGCGGGTCGTCGCGGGGCGGTGACAGCTGTGTTGCGGCCGCCGGAGGAGCGCAGACGGCCGCTGACCGATCGCCAGACGCGCGCCGGCCGGCCGCGATGGATCGCTGTTTGTCGGCGCCGCCGGCGTGAGAGCGCGCGCCCCGCCGCCGCTCCCGAGAACACTGCGACAAAAGAGCGCGCCCGGGAAGCCAGATGCCGTCCGGATAGCGGGCGACGGCTGACGGGCGTCGAGGGAGGCCGCGCGGGCGTGGTGACGCGTTCCTTCGGCGATTGACGGCTGGAGCGTGGGAGGGCTCGGCGGTGATCGTCGCGTGCAGGGTCTGGAGGCGGCGCGACCCTGCGGCAGCCCGCGGCGGATCCGCGGAGGAGCCGGCGACGTGCGGAGGCCTGGCCGATGTGCTGCCGGGCCGCCGCGGACGGCGCCGGCGTCAGCCGTCGGCGCCCTGTCAGCGGGGCGCCTCCGAGAACGCGCCACATCGCCCTGCAAGGCCGCAGACGCATGCGAGCCACAGCCAGAGCCGGACGGAGCATATTACCTGGAAAACTTGGTAGAAGACGGAAACACATTCTTGGCGAATAATACACATGATTGTGTATATATATATATATATATATATATATATATATATATATATATATATATATATATATATGATATAAAACGTATGGTTTATGCATGAACAATAGTTAAGTAATATTCGACTCGGTGATCACCGCTTAAACAGGTGTATTGTCGATTGAATGGGTATCTTCCACTGAAAACACAGATGAATGGTGCGATAGGGATGAACGATGGTCAGAGTCAACTGAGCAAGAACCAGAGCAGACGCTCAAAAACATATCTCAGCTGACAAGATGACCATCATGGATGTCACATGCTGTGGTGGAGACTTGGCTTCGGGCACAAAATGAGCTTAGTAGTCGGTGTACGCTAAAACCCAATCATCGTCATTATCATAACATCGTCATCATCAGCAGCATCAAGGCTTAGCTTCACACGCCAAGCCGTAAGCGCCTAATGGCATGCATACAAAATGTTTTCTTAAAGTACCGACGCTCCATGTTCCGCGCCTCCGTCGTGGCTGTCCGGATTATGATTCCATAAAGAAAATTTTGGATTTATTTGGTCCAAAATAGTTTGCTGGATCTTAATATCAGTTTCATGTCTCTTTACCCTCTAAGGAAATCTCTGAAATGAGCATGAACGCTTCAAACAGTCTTCAACTAGCCTC